GCGCGTCAGTGAGTGCTTCATGTACACTTATGCAGGGGCTGGTGGAAATGGTGTTCTTGTGTCCCATAGGACGGGATGCACCCATGTACATCCAGGATATGGCTTTCTGAGCGAGAGCCCCAAGTTTGCGTCGCTCTTCCGTCAAACTCCTTCGTCTCCGATCACCTTCATTGGACCGTCGGTGGAGACCCTCAAGGTTGCATCTGACAAGATGCTGTCTCGCGAACTCGCAGCCTCCCTAAGGGTGTCCGTCGCTCCTGGCATGCGGGTATCTTCTGTCGACGATGTGCACCAATTCGTCGCCCGCTCGAGCAGTCACGCATACCCCGTTATCATCAAGGCCCTGGACGGAGGAGGAGGACGCGGAATCCGCATCGCGAACAGCGCCAGTGACGTTGCTGATGCGTATGAACGCTGCCTGGGCGAGAGCCCGTCAAAACAGATCTTCGTGGAGAAAGCGCTGGTTGGTCCAGGGTGGAAGCATGTCGAGGTCCAGATCGTCGGCGACGGACGGGGAGACGTTGCACACTTATGGGAACGGGAATGTAGTGTCCAACGCAGGTGTGCTATTCCGCAGGTCACTTGTGAGCCTAGCTGACCTGTACAGATTTCAGAAGATCGTCGAGGTTTGTCTTATGTCCTTCCTACAGTGAGCGGATCTGACCGAGATGGAAAAGGTGGCCCCATCGACCTTGCCGCGGGTAGCAGTGGAGCCATTGCTCGAGGCAGCCCTGAAACTTGCTCGTCATCTGCAGTATGCAGGGCTCGGTACCTTCGAGTTCCTCATCGACGCTCACTCTCACGAATGGGTCTTCCTTGAAGTGAACCCTAGAATACAAGTTGAGCACACGGTCACAGGTGAGTCATATCTGTGGGGTTTCAGGCGTGTGACTGAAGGCAACCTTTGCACAGAGGAAATCATGGGTGTAGACCTCGTCCGCGTGCAACTCCTCCTCGCCACTCCTGGAACGCCCCTCGCAACAGTCCTCCCTCAACATACACGCTCATTTGTGTCACCCGTAGGATACGCAGTACAGCTCCGACTTGTTGCTGAGGATCCTCATAACGACTTCCGTCTATCTCCTGGCACCATCAACCCTATAGACGTGTCGTGGCCCGCCGGAAAGGGCATCCGTGTCGACTCTTGGGTCTCTGCTGGACCCCACGCTGTTAATGCTAGCCTCGGATGGACTGTCGGCGTCGACTTCGACTCTCTACTAGCGAAAGTAATCGTGCATGGTGCAACCTTGGAGGAGGCCACGACCAGGGCGCTCAGAGCCGTGCGTGAGATCCGCGTGTCTGGCGATGTGAAGACCAACAGAGACCTCCTCGCTGGCATTGTAACACACCCAGACTGGCGAGGCGGAGCAGTGCATACCAAGTGGCTGGAGGAGCACCTCGACGAGATCCTTCATCTCGGCGAGTCCAAGCTACATAAGCGACATGATCATCTTGTATCCACGCCGACTTCCACGACAGCCTTCCCCGGTACATCCTCCACGCGCGCCACGGGTGCCGCTGGCACTGTACTCCTCCAGCCAGGGTCATCATTCCAGCTGTCTATATCTCCGGGAGGCCAGGGCGCCCAAGTGCCTATCCAGAAGCACAGTCTGGTCCTCTCTACAATTGGTCACAACGCGTTCCCCGACCAACTCTCGGGAACGCTCACGACGTCGCTTACCCCTGGACCCCTTGCCTTCAACCTGACTCAAATCTCGACAGTCTCAACATCCTCCCAGTTCGAATTCGCGAACCCGCAGGATCCCACCCACTTGTCCTGCCCGCTTGCGGGGAAGATCGTCGAACTTCACCCCGCTCTTTCGGCATCGAGTACGGATAGCTTCATCCGCGCTGGTGAGGCGTTGATCGTGGTCAGTGTGATGAAGATGGAGAGTGTAGTGAATGCACCCTTCAGCGGTAAGGTGTCGAGGCTCGGCAAGGGGATCGAGGTTGGTGCTGTTGTCCCGGAAGGCAGTTTGGTTTGTGTCTTGGACGGGCAGAGTGCCGGCGCTGTGGCGAAGCTGTAGATACGTTGTCATCCAAGATGCTCTTGCGTGGTGTACTATAGGAAGTATCGTACTGTAGACTGTTCTGCGCGGTCAACGAAGAAAGCTCTCGAAGGTGCGCGCGACGCGACGCGCTGGCGGTGTCGCACGTGACCGCGGTAGAGCTACGTGTTCACCGAGGGTGATGAGGTCACCGCCAGCAACGTTGTCCTTGACCGCCACCGCCGTCTGCTGTTCTTGCTTGTATTTCTAGTCTCTGGTATCCTTGGTTAACTTGTCAGTCCTCCACCTGCAACATGTCGCTCGTCGATGAGATTATGAAGATTCCGCCGGTCACCCGTTTCCTGTGCGGGTCGCTGTTGGGCGTGTCCTTACCGATGATGATGCAAATCGTGTCGCCGTATAAGTTGCTGTTTGTGAGGGAGTTGGTGACGCAGCGGTATGAGGTGAGTATTAGTTATGGCCCTGTGCTTCTGGGGCTAACTAGTATGTGTAGATCTGGCGAGTGTTCACGAGCTTCTTCATAGGAGGTACGCCCGCTTGTACGTGCGTGAAGGACTCAAGTATTCATTCATGGTTGTGTCCTTCGTAGGCTCGGGCATCAACTTCATCTTCGACCTTGCCATGACATAGTGCGTATGCGTGGATTCTGGTGCGACTACGAGTACTGACAAACAGTGTTGAAGTCGAAACTCGGATGACCTGGAGTCAAGGCATTACGCCGGTCGCTCCGCTGATTATGCGTGGCAGCTCATCCTGGCAGCCGCGGGGATCCTTGTACGTCTTACCCAGTCTCTACTAGTTGCATGCACTCACCGCTACCCGTCGCCGTCATGCGTTGACAGGCCCTGAACATCCCCCTCCGCACCTTCGTGCACACACGCGCACTCCTCATCGCGCTCACCTACGTGTCCTCTTCGCTCGCCCCGGCCGGGACGCAAACCTCGTTCTTCGGGCTCCTGACCATCCCCGCAAAGTACCTGCCGTACGTGTTCGTGGCGATGGACTTCCTCATGGGCGGTCCGTCCGCAGCGGCGGTCAGCATCTCCGGCGCGGTCGTGGGCCACCTTTGGTGGTGGGGCGTATGGCACACTGGCTCGCTCCGGGCCTGGGGAAGCGCACCAGCGTGGTTGCGGTCGCTGATGGGCCAGCGGGGAGGCGTTGCGGGTGCGGTGAACATGGGTGGTGTGCACGTTATTCCTCCGAGAAGAGAAGCTGCGAGGACCACGGGTGGTACCAACTGGGGTCCGGGTCGCAGGCTCGGGGATTGAGGCCTGAGACTTGAGGGAGGCTATTGACGTTCCCGTGCGGTAGTCTCGGTAGCTGTGAGCCGACTCCCCTCCTATCCTTCATCCTTGACTTCCAAACTGACAGTCGGTAGACAGTGCTATGTTGCGGTGTCAATTGTGCTATTTACGGAGTAATATCGCTCTCAAATTCTTGCAACCCATCGCTAGACTGATGTTCCGTTGGCACGCCGAGTTCCGCTGGAATATGCGCGACTGGCAGGAACCCCTCAAGCAAGAAGTAGCGGCTCAAACTTCCCGACAGTTGGGCACCTTGTGTCCTTGAGGTGCGGTGTCAATGTACGCCTGGCTCTTGCCAGCGTGCTGCGTAACCAACGTTTGAAGACGACTGCCTCCGCTGTGGCCAGACGCAAAAATCGCGCAGCTTCGAATCCTGACTGGCGCTCACCCGTCCAGTGTTCTGGGCTGGACGCGAGAGCAGGGTTATGGACCGGTGAGGCGATCTGGGGTGCATACGTGCGTGCGTGAGATTTGCTACGGGACACGAGGCGGTCGACGGGCGTTCGGTTGGTCTCGCTGTCCACTGACATTGTTTTGCAGAACGACGCCGTTGTAGGTCCACATATTATGGCATTCCATGTCAATGTCTATTTTGCCCAGTGGACTCTATGCGACACTGCAAAGGCTAAGTTAGTCTGCGGCGGAATGAGCGCAACCAGATCTTGGTCACCTCAACGGCAGCTGCCGCCACAAACTGCGGACTGAACAAACCGCGCGGCTCACCACGCTACACATACACTTCTCGCTTCCTTCGCCCCACGAAGCGAAATGAAGTCTTCTCATGATTCCGTTCCGTCTCCCCACACGGCCCCGCGCCGCGTTGCCCTCACGCGGCATCCTTCGCGCCAAACTCATCATAGTACGCCTTCATCTTCTCCAGCTCCTCCGTCCGGCCATTGTCTTGCAGCCACGACATGAGATTCTGCATCGTGAGGATCGTCGGCACGCGACCTTTGCCCCCGAGCAGCTCCTCCACCTCCGCGATCGTGCTCCTGCCTGCCTTTCCCAGCTCCTGGCGATCCAGCAGAAGTACCGCGCCAACGACCTCTCCGCCCTCGCGCTGTACGATGTCTATCGCGCCCCGGATCGCGGTCCCGGCCGTCGCAACGTCGTCCAGGATCACGACACGCTTGCCCCTGACAGGCGTGCCCACCGTGACGCCTCCCTCGCCGTGGTCCTTCGCCTCCTTGCGATCGTACGCGAACCCTACGTCGATCTTGTGTTCGCGGTGCAGGAGGAGCGCGGTGCCCGCCGCGAAGGGGATGCCCTTGTACGCCGGGCCGAAAAGGACGTCGAACTCTGGGAGCCCGGGCGAGGCCTTGAGTGCCGCGGCGATCGTCGCTGCGTATGCAGAGCAGAGGGTGTCGAGGACGGGTCCTGACGCGAGAAGACCCGCGTTGAAGAAGTACGGAGACAAGCTGCGTTCGCGCGCGCATGAGAGTCATGTTTAGGGGATCGGCGTGCAGGGTGGTACAGACCGGCCTGATTTGAGCGTGAATGTACCGAACATCAGCGCGCCGGCTGACAGACTGTGCTCGATGAGCTCTGTCTGGTACTTCTGGAGCGACATCGTACAGACGACTTAGATGGAGGTTGCAATACAAGGTGCACGCGCGCGCAACGGAGGCAAGCTGGTAGGATGTCAGTACCTATCGGCTCATATAGCGCGCGGGTAAATTCGCAGCATGGCCGCGTGGCGTAATGGAAGCGCGTCTGACTACGAAGACCGCAGGGTTCATCCCTGGGGAAGCTCACGTGATCAGGAGGCCGCAGGTTCGACCCCTGCCGTGGTCATGCTTTTCGAGGACAGTTGCTTGTTTTGCTCCAGCAATGCACACCGTTATAACTTACAACAGTACGCAAGGCTCCCGGAGGTACAGTAGTGTCTGCCAGGTAAGATGAGTTCGCTGACCACCGGATGTAAAAGCCGAGATCTGTGGCGATTCGCGCGCGCGGTTAGATGTCGGTCATTGTGGCGCTCCTGTTTCTGCACCATACCACCACCTGCGTTGAACCAGAACCGTCCTTCTGCGACACGGTGAGTCCTCGAGTGCTCTCTATCCTCCATCTGTGAACGTTCAGTACCTGACCCGTGCTGCACTCGAGATGAACCCTCGGTTGGAGCGGAAGACCGAGTAACCCAGATCCCAGCGACAGCTGTCTTCGGATCTTCCGCAACTCTGACATCCTCGCCTAAGCGTTCCGAGCCCCGAGCTTTCGCACCCTCGACAGGAACACGCCCGGTTCTCGCTGGCCATCTATTACTGTACTTCTCGTCACGACGATACCACATGAGGATCCAACGAGGTTGGTACCCTCGCTTCCTCAGATTGCGGAACACTCAAGTTTAGCTCCGCTATCTAGGCCGCTCGAACGCACCTACTTGTAACCCCTCCACCCCCGGCTGACCTCCTAGCAACATCGGACATGGGTCTCTTCGCTCTCGCTCTTCCTGGTCTGATATTTGGCGACCGCATCCGCAAGCACACTGACTCCTACGACCCCGAGAAAGCCGTCCGTGAACACTCGGAGCGCTCTAGCCACGACGGCTCACCCGAACTTGACCACGACGACTCTGACGACGATCACGACCGCGCTTCTCCTGATGTACTCACAACGAACACTCCACATCGCCGCATTCGCCGTGTGTACTCCAATGTCACTCGCGCCGCCTTCTCCGAACCCGCCCAGGCCAACGCTTCCTCCGACGACCTCACTGCCCCCCCGCCGTCGATGTTTGCTAGAATCAAGGCGTATGTCTGGCCTTCTGATAACCAGATGGCCGACATTGACAGCTTCGTTCCCAACTATCGCTGGACGCCGATCATCTCGGGGATCGTCATCCCGTTCTCCATCCTACTCGAGATCCCAGGCCTCACGGAGCGCTGGTATATCAGGACGGAGAATAACAAGACTGTCGAGACGAGACCTAATCCTGCTATCCTCGATGTCGGCTTGGGCATCTCCATCGCATGCGCTCTGATAGCGAACGTCGGCCTGGTCCTGCGGTTCCTAGAGAAACGCGTTCAAACTGTCACGCTACTCTGCATCGTTTTCCTTACTATCCATGGTAAGCATCACCTTCGGAGTTGACGTACCTGCCACCAACGCGTCGAGCAGATATAATCAACATAATTGCTGTCACTACCTTTGGAGTGGAACATCGGTTCGACGACGGTTTCACTTACGGCGAAGCCTTCTGGATGACTCTGTGTTCCACCATCGCCTCTACCGTCACGAATGTCAGTTTAATCGTTGACCTTATCCGGACACCTGATTTTGCCAAACGAGGTGAGTTATGCATACACCAGCTGCCACTTGCTTTCTAACATGTCTGTAGGCAGCGGCCTAACCCGCAAGCAACGTGCGCTCATGATTATCGTCATCGTCTTGCTTGTTTACGTTGCTTTCGGCGCTCTCATCAACTCGCTCCTTCTCCACCTCTCCTTCGTCGACGGGCTCTACTTCACCGTCGTGTCTATTGAGACTATCGGCTTCGGCGACATTGCGCCCCACTCGACCGGCGCACGCGTCTGGGTATGCTTCTACGTCTCCGTTGGCGTCATCAACATCGGTGTGGCCATCGCTATGTGCCGCGAGACGATCCTGGAAGGCCTCGAGATCGGCTACAGGCGTCGTATGCGGAACATGCGGCAGCGCAGGCGTGAAGCACGGCGCTTCCGCAGGTGGGAAGCCCGCTGGCAGCGCGCGGTAGAGTTTCGTCTTCGGGAGGCGGGCAAGCCTGTTTGGGTTGCCGATGAGAGGCCTCACGTCCCGAACAAGGACGCTAGCGCACATCTCTTGGGCCTTCTGCCTAGTGGCGTGAAGGTGCCGTTCTTCAAGCGCGTTGGGACCACAATCAAGCGGACCGCCACGATGCAGTCCATGGAGTCGGTCTTTGGCGGACATCGCAAGCAGCATCTGAACGTCGAAGCGCTTAACAGCGCTCAGCTCGAAGAGGCCGCACTCGAGGCCGGGGTACCACTCGAGATGTTCCTCGACCTGGAGGACAGGCAAGGCAACGACCCGGACCACGATGCTGCTCAGCATGCCACAGGTCTTCCGGTCCACTCGCAGTCCAACGGTGGCATCGTTCCTGCTCTGGCTCAGACGCATGCCGCCCACGCCTTCGACCACACGATATCCAGCGGCTGGCCGTCGCATCCACAGACACCGACGCATGCGCAGCTAGGGCGCATGTCAGCCATGGTGACTAAGTTCGCTGTCGCTGTCGCCGGGTCTTATGCGCATGCGTCCGGCATTCCGCAGGACGCCCCCGGCCCTAATCATGAGTCTTCGAGAAGAGGTGGCCCTGCTTCCCCTCGTCGCTCATCCGCTCACGTGAGCAGTGGCGGATCCCGACCGCATAGCGACCGTCGTGGCACGTCGTCCTCGAACATCCGTACGCACCCAGCTGCGAGGTGGCTAAAGGACTTCTCGCGCGGGGCCGCTCAGCGGTCAAACTGGACGTATGAGAAGTTCAGGGCCGACATGGAGGCGGAGGAGAAGAAGGCTTACTACGTGAAGGTGCTGTCTCCTTCGCAAGTCGCACCATGATCCCTATACTGACTGTGGTTCAGACCACGATAGCTTGGACGCTCTTCTTCCTCTTCTGGACTGTGAGTGCTCCACCATGACAGCGGGCATCAGCGGCTCATCTACGCTCTTCGCCAGGTCGGATCTGGGATCTTCTGTGCGACGGAAGGGTGGTCGTACGGAACTGCGATGTACTTCTGTAAGTCCATAGTATCATCTCACTCCCATCTCACAAAGTGACGTTGTGCCAGGTTTCGTGGCCTTCAGTACGACCGGCTACGGCGACTTCTCGCCTCAAACACCAGCAGGCCGGTCCGTATTCGTCGTCTGGGCCCTGTTCGGTGTGGGCACACTGACAATCCTGATATCTGGTGAGTGTCACATGGACTATGTGCGTTGCTATCTCTCATTTTCCTCCTCAGTGCTACAAGAGGCGGGATCTTCCCGATACAAGAGCGCGCTCCATTCCCGAACCTTCGACAAGGCCGTCAGGAAATACCGCAAGAAGCAGCTGCAGGAAGGAAAGCAGCGTCCTCGGCCCGTCATCGGCAAGCAGGCCTCTGGTGTCGCGGAGACAGCCACTAACGGTTCTGCGAATGGGCATCAGCCGCACGCCGAAGCGAAGCCGACGTCCGAACGCCTCAAGGAGTCCCAGGAGATTGCGAAGCGGACTCTCGAGGCGCTGCCGGGCGAGGTTGTCAAGATGTCGAGGGAGTTCCGCGACTACATGCAATTCTCGTTGCTGGCGGCGCGGATGGCACCAACCCGCTCGAGGACCGAGACGCGGAGGGCGAGACCGGGAACTTGACCATTCCGCCTGAGATGCGTAAGCTCCTGGACGAGCTGTGTGACATAGAGGGCATCAACGACAGGGTGAAGGGTGAGATTCTCCAGGACGAAGACGCGAGGAAGGTGAGTAGGCCTGGGAGACTCTTGTGGAGCTACTGACTGACGAGTTCGGACAGACCCTCTTTATGCTTGGTCTTGAACGTGAGCAGGGCCCCGTTATTGGATCGCACCGCACTGACTGAGTCTCTGCTTCTAGGTTCCTTTAAGCGCCTCGTAACGTCCGCCGAGAAGGCCCTCTCAGCACTTGCAGATCGCGACGCGCTGGCATCTATCACCGCCGCTCAGCAGCCTCCCAAACGCCACCAGGCCCTCCTCAACACAATCTCCATTGCAGACACCCGGGCGAGGCAGACGACGACGACGACCGCCGCACACATATACGTGCGCAGTCCGAGCCTGAGCTACCGAGCGTACATCGCCAGCACGTCATACATGCACGCCATGCGCACGCGGTGCGGGACTTGTCGCCTGCGAGCGGTAGTACCTGGGGCGAGTCTTCGACGTCTACTCCACGCGCGCATTCTCCCGCCATCACGGAGGACATGCCTTCCTCGTCGTCTTCGGTTAGGAGCTGACGACTCGTAACTCCTGTTTTTGCACCGCATCTCTCATAACGATCTCATCTCCACCCACGCTCCCGATTATGTTGTCTGTACATTCACTCATCTGCCTGTTGCTTCATGACTCAATTCGTTCATGTCAGCCCACCTCCGGACATACTTACACAGTCTCGTACATAGTCTCAATTTTCTACTCAATCTCTCCCGCAAGTCCAGTCATACAAGTGTAGTCATAGCGCATACAAACATACATGTGCGTCCTAGTAGTGTAATAGTATACACGATGGACGTCCCGAGAACATCGATCATAGCCTACTGTATCTATGCTACAAGTCATATTGAAGAACGCATAATATCATAGTCATCTGTGGGAATTCCGGGCTGCTCGAGGGTTCTCACATGTCCATCGACATCGTCACGTAGTCGCACTGGTGCGCGTCGGCAACCTGAACGAAAAAGCCACCGTACTCATCAGACGCCAAATCCTCCAACACCGACAACATCAAGAGAGCTCACCTTCAGCATGAACCCATTCTCGAAGAGCGACGCGCCCACGAGCCGCGCAGGGAGGTTGTGCAGTCGCCTGCACCGTATCCGGCAGGGCACGTCCGACTTCACCAGCTTGCAGTCTTCCTCGAACCACTGCGAGTAGTCCTCCACCACCGGCGCCTTCGACAGCGACACGGACCACTCGGAGACGTCTCGTACGCCGGAGTCCCGGCATGCGCACCGTCCACGTCGAAGTCGAGCAGCGCAAGGACCGGCGCGCCGTCGTGATAGTACGGGATGAGCGCGCGCCGGCCAAACGTCGTCGGGGCCTCCCAGGAGCACGTCTCGCCCACGCGGAAG